GCGCTCCTCAGAGGTGAAAACCATATGGTAGTAGGAGACTTTAATGCGCACCACGATCTTTGGCACTCAAGCCTGTCAAACGATCGTAGGGGAACAGACTTGGCTGAGCAGATAGACGATTTGACATTCTGCACAATGAACGACGACGCACCCACCAGGATTATGTGTAACTGCAGTAGCTCGCCAGACATCACAATAGTCAGCGCTGGTCTGATAAACAGCATAACGTGGCGACCTATGCTGACTCTAGCATCAGACCATCTACCCATAGTCATCTCGATTGATAAACCAACCGACTTTGCCTCCGCCAAACAGCGGACCTATATCAACTTTTCCAAAGCTGATTGGAAAGGTTACGCGGAGTTTACCGAAAACACCTTCGCAGCGCACCCCACACCAACCGACGTCCATCTCGGTGAACGTAAGTTCCGCAGGGCTATCACTGCTGTTGCAGCTCCCTTCATACTGGCAGGACGTATATCGGACCCACGTCCAAACTTCCCTGCCGAAGCGGCTGTTCTAGCTGATGAGCGTGATAGCCTTCGTCAGGCCGATCCCGGAGATCCCCGTATCAGGGATCTCAACGCGGAGATTCGGCAACTTGTAAACGTACATAAGCGGAAGAAGTGGGAGGAGCACCTGAAGACTTGTAATTTCACCTCTGGTGTGAGCAAGCTTTGGTCAACCGTGAGGTCATTGTCTAATCCGACGAAGCACGACGACAGAGTCGAAATTTCCTTCGGCGACCATGCTTCGTCGGACCCGGAGCGATGCGCGAGCTATTTTAGCCGGCAGTTCATACTGCATCCTCCGGTGAGACAAAGCCAAGCGTCGAGTGACCAGAAGGCTGCACAAACTGCCAACAAATTGTGCCCCCCTTGCTTTCACTTGCGGTGAAGTTCAGGTGGCCATCGGGAAGGCGAAAGCCTCCAAAGCCATGGGTCCCGACGGTATATGCATGCTGATGCTGAAAAATTTGGGTCCTGCGGGGGTAGCGTACCTAACGGAGGTCCTCAACCTGTCAATGGCCACTCTCATCATCCCAGACATCTGGAAGGTGGGGAGAGTGGTCCCACTGCTCAAACCGGGGAAACCCGCCAACAAAGGAGATTCGTATCGTCCGATTACACTCCTTTCCCCGGTAGCGAAGACAGTCGAGGCCCTGCTACTCCCGTACTTCACAAACCACCTGACCCCAGCGAAGCATCAGCATGGTTTCCGTAAAGTGCACAGTACAACAACAGCACACACTCGCACAACTTCGCTCCGGCTACTGCAGCAGGTTGAACTCCTACTTGAGTAGGTTGAATGAGGATGTGCCGAATGAGTGTCCGGCATGCGGAGAGACCCCACATGACTCGAAACATCTCTTCGCATGCCCGGAAAGCCCGACAACCCTAACGGCCTTGTCCCTGTGGACAAACCCCACAGAAGCTGCACGCTTCCTAGGGTTGCCGTTAGTGGAACTTGACGACAAAGACTGAGATACCAACCGTCCTGGGCGGGGTTGTTGTAGCTGCTACAACAACAACAACAACAACCTTTCTTTTTTAAAAACGAAATTTTTTTTCAACTATTTGACCGATTGTGTATAGTCGAGGGAATTGACTGCTAGACCTTTTGTTAAACCGAATTGTTGCGCGATAACTGTTTGCTTGGCAAACAACGAAAAATGTGTACAGCAAATTTAACTGTTGAATCGCGTTTGCACGGCAAAAGGCGAAAATTCTATATCATCAACTGCGCAAAGTTAACTGTTAAATCTGGTGATTAGTGCACGGTGCCTATGTACAGAGTAATCAAAACTATGTACAAACGCAAGCAAGTAGCCGTGCTTATGTATCACGTCGGGGTCACCAAAAAATGTATGTAGTCGCGCAAGAGTTTTTGCGCTCAAACGTATAGCGAAGATTAGCAAAATGAAATAAAAACACTAAAGTGGTGTTGTCTTGTAGACGTTATAAATGCGATTGTGTATTACTTACATCTTTGCTACAACTTATATATGGGTATTTCCATACGTCGCATACTTGACAGTCGTACGTTTCAATGTGATATACATACAAACATTTGTTTTCATTAACTTTTTTGGGCCATTGTATAGCACATAATTACCTCTACATTTTACCGAAAAATTGAAATAATCGAACTACTTGGTCCTGAAATATAAGCATTTAAAGAGAGTGTCGTTACGTGACAAAAAATGGAAGTAGATTTTTTCTTTTCTTACAAAATCGCAAAACTCTGCAAATTGTGGATGGCGTAGCGTCACGTGACATAAATTTCCATCGTTATATTCTTGTTAATATTGCTTTTAAATGAATTTTTGACGCAAATAAAACATGTATTCTATGTAGAATATACTTTATATTTTGACTTCAGCGCCAATTCAGGGTGAATTTGTTGGAAATCTATGATTTATTATGTTTCAACTACATACGCCAAATCGGATCCTAAATACGGTTTTTCGTAATATCTCGATCTTGGCGCCACCTATGAAGACCATTTTACGCAAACATGATTCTACTTTTATAGCCAGTATATATTTTAAAAAGCAGACAAATCGGCCGGTAAATACGTTAGATATAAGACTTTTATTTTTTTTTGTCGTGGTGGACCTTCCGATGGAAACACCCATATGTAACAGGTTTGCCGTGTGCAATATCAAAAAATGTAGTAAGTGATGCCACTGAGTTATGAACAATGGGTATCAGATTAAAACGGTTTAAGGAAGATGACTAATGGAAATATTTTTGAGGAGGGTTGCCACCTTTTTGAAAATTTAGTTTAATTGATAAAATAAATGTGGGTGTCAAAATAAAGAGGGTTGCCACCTGTTTGATAGTTTAACTAAATTACATTGATAAAAGAAGCTTAAGAAATATAACTCTTGGAAATACTTTTTATAAGGGTTGCCACCAATTTTAAAATGAAACTGATAAAGTAAATGAAATATGGGTATCAAACTAAAGAGTTTTAGGAATTCTTAAAAGCCAAAATATTTTAAAGGAAGGCTGCCACCTGTTAAAGAATTTAGCGCAATTTAATTTATAAACTAAATGACATATTACAATAAAGGTATTAAGTTAAAGAGATTAAAGAAAGATAACTTCTGGAAATAATTTTGAGTACAATTGCCACCTCTTTGAAAATTTAAACTCAGTTAAAGTGATAAAATAAATGAAATACAGCAATTTGGGTATCAAACCTTAGATTTTGAAGATGGCTTACAGCCGAAAATATGTTTGAGGAGGGTTGCCACCTGTTAGAAAATTTAACTCAATTTAATTTATCTAATAATATTAATAGATTGGCGCTTACACATATGTTACCGAACTGTAAACATATGTTTACACATCCAGTTTTGCGAGTAGGTACCTGGTACTCACATCTTTTTTAAGAAGTTTCACTTCTATCATGTGTACGGTGTTACACACGCATTTTTTTAACAAAATGTTTTTATTTAGTTATATATTTATTTTGTTTATTTATTTAATTAGTCAAAAAACTC